CACTTTATGTCTTAAGCAATGATCCATAGGAACCTACAGCACTTACACCCGCACATTTTCTAAATTTAAAACCACTTGAATGCTTACCGGTTGCAGATTTAAGCAAGGAACGTATTAATGATTTCTTATATTTACGCGAACACTACACATTGAAATAATACTTAAGTATACTTACGTTAAAAAACCTACGCAATAAACCAGAACTTACGATTCTCCGCGCAGATAAGGGAAACGCCACGGTAGTCATGGATACGTCAGATTATAATTCTAAAATACAAGAACTTTTGTCGGATGTAAGTACTTATAAAAAGGTTAAAAACGACCCAACAAATAGCACACTAAAAACAACTAGTGACCTCATAAAGAAACACTCCGAAAAATTAAATCTGGACGTAAAATGGATAATACCTACGTGCGCCAAATCACCAAAATTGTATGGGTTACCAAAAATACACAAGCCCAATGCTCCATTACGTCCCATAGTGAGCCAAATCGATTCACCAACTTACAGATTGGCTCAACACTTAGCGAAAATACTCTCACCGCTCAGGGGACATACAAGAGCACACATAAAGGATTCTTACCATTTTGTCAGCGAGATTAAAGACCTACATCTGGCAGACAATGAAACTATGGTCAGTTTTGATGTGCAGTCATTGTTTACATGCTTACCTGTTGAAGACTGCATCTCAATTGTAACTAGAAGGCTGGAAGAAAACAACATGCCCGTAGAATATGCAGTATTACTTAGACACTGCCTTGCATCTGGCTACCTATTGTGGAAGGAGGAGTTCTACAAGCAAGTAGATGGTGTGGCGATGGGCTCACCTGTATCTCCCATTGTCGCCGACATATTCATGGAAGACTTTGAGGAGAAAGCCTTGCTTAGTTCTTCCATAAATCCAAGATTCTACAAGAGGTACGTAGACGACACTTTCACAATTCTACCTTTAGATAAAGTAACTGCATTTTTAGACCACCATAACTCTATAAATTCTAAAATTTAGTTCACAATGGAGTTAGAGGCAAACAATTCCTTAGCTTTTCTAGATGTGTTAGTAATTCGGAATCCTGATAACACCTTGAGCCATACTGTGTATAGAAAAAAGACCCATACAGATAGATATTTAAACGGTGATTCTCACCACCATCCTTCACAATTAGCTACCGTGGGAAAATCTTTGTTTCAGAGAGCACGAGGGATCTGTAACAGTAAACACCTGGCTGCAGAGCTCCACCATGTCAAGCAAGTTTTGCATGACAACAAGCTTCGAGTCCCGCGCCTACGTCACGTTAGAGGAGTCACTGACAAGATTGGCTACATCTTGAAGCGCGCTTCCATCAAAACATACTTCAAGCCGCTGAAGAAGATTGGTCAGTTTTTACCATCAGTCAAGTGTAATGTCCCTCTGCAAGATGCAGGAGTGTACAAGCTTGATTGTGAATGTGGTCTCTCCTACATAGGACAAACTAAAAGATCAATAAAAACCCGCGTTAAAGAACATATAGCTGATGTGAAGAATCGACGCTCCGGGAAGTCTGCAGTCTGTGAACACGTACAGGATCGCCCCCGTCACTACATCAGATTTGATAGATCGCAAATCCTCGCTAAAGAACACCGATTCCTTCCAAGGATGATTCGCGAGGCTATTGAAATCAAAAAACATACTAATTTCAATAGAGAAGATGGCTGGGTGCTACCATCTGCTTGGGATCCTATAATAAATAAAATTAAATCCCAACCCAAGCATACAACGGCAAGACTTCAAGATACCATAAGTTCATACTGCATAGATCGGAACAAAAGTTAAATTTTAATCTATGGTAACCGCGGTTAACTATGACATATGGACGTTGAACATCTCAGTGCCGCCCGTGACCATGAGTGCTGTAAAGCGTTCGAACGTCGGGTATTTACAAAGTTAAATATACGCGATAAATTCCGTAAAAACTAGTATTATTTCAAGGAACGTATTTAATAGATTCTTTAGTTCAGTCCTTTTGGAAACGCTTCAGATTCGAATACTTACATACATTACAGAGTAGAGTGAAGTGGAATAAGAATGCTACTGCCATTTCTATAGGTGGATAATACTCCACCGCTTCAGTGATCTCTAGGCGTTGTCACCGAATTGTTTCCCGGTAAGGATGGTGTGGTACGCGTTGCGCAAGTTAAACTTAAGAATTCCACTTTGAAACACCCTCTTATCAAAATGAGTCCTTTACCAACACAGTGATTAATATAGTTAATTTTGCATTATCGTTTATATATTTAGTTTTAATTCTTAGGTCATAACGTCGCTTCATTTCGCTACTATATAAGTATTTATCTATATATATCTATATTTTTATACTTTACTTGCTAGATGAGGATACCTCAAGGCCGGGGGGATGTTCGCGCCACTTTGCACTATCGCCTAACGCTTATAAGAGATTCGTTAATTATTATCTAATAAGATTACTGCAAAGCCCATTTCCGGGTTTCCTATCTACCGCCTTTTTATGCCCAGCATGTGCATTCGTGTTAACGGGGCTCACACAAGTTGAGAAGACACGCAACCAACCGCATCGCTTATATCTCGCGTCATCGCTCCCGCCCTTGTGTAATTTGGATATTGAATTATACAAGCATATAGTAAAAAGTATAGACATTTGCAATAACGCTATATTTCGTGATTATCTATGAAGATTATCTGTGAATTTGATAAGTGTGAAGAAAGCTGGCATGCACATACATTCCTTCACGTCCTTCCTATATCCCGAATTTAGGACATTTGCAGTATCACGAATAAATTAAATTCCATTCACCGCTCGCACCGCGCTAATATACAGTCCACTACTCTATTTAAATTAATAGCCGCGCCGCATAAAATTATTTAATACATTTGAACCAGCAGTTTTGTCGTTAAAACTAAAACGCCAAACCAATATGAATTACAAGCTCGTGGAAACTCTCCATGCGATCGAAGCTAAGTTCTATGAGACCCGTCGCAGAAGAACACAAAAACTCTTCGATCACACCCTTAATCCCATGACTGTTAGATGGGAAATAAAGCTGTAGTCTTCAGCAGATTTGACAGCATACAAGCAACTGATCTGACAGATCTCCAAATGCATGTGGCAGGACTTACGCAACTTCAATACAGCTCGTATTGAAGAAAGAGATCGAGCGGAACCAGGGCTCCTAAGTCTTCTTCAGAGATTTGTCTGCTAGAAAGAGCCAACTGTCGAAGCTGAAGACCGAATGTGGCAGCATCTTTTCCGGGACACCTGAGATTCTGAGTGAGATTGAGAGGTTCTAAGGGCAACTGTAAAAGTCATCGTTGGAGCCACACGCAAAAGTCAGTAACGATGCAAGTTGCTCTTGTCGTTGTCTTGTCCGACAATATTCCGATGATATCTCGGATGTAAGTCTGAGCGAGATTAGAAGTACTCTCCAGCACCTTAAAAACGGTAAGTCCCCGGACGAGAGTTAAATTACAGCGGAGCTTCTGAAAGCCGGTGGAAAACCGGTACGTGAAGTCCTTTAGAAGCTCTTCAATTCCGTCCTCCATGGTGACACTACTCTGGAGGCGCGGAGCAAACGTGCAGTGGTCCTGTTCTTCAAGAGAGGCGATAGCATTTTCTTGAAGAACTACAGATTGAATTCTCTTCTGAGTCTCGTCTACGTGCTCTTTTCGAGTCATTCCTACTCCATTCTGCATGGGCCAAGACTCCCTTAAGTGTCACGTGGTGCCCGAGCCTCACATCAGCTCTGAATTCCTGGTCGCGGATGCCGTCGATGAATGTCTGCACCAGGTTCCCTTCATTGAGCGCAGGTACAGATCGGTATGATTTTCGAACCAGCTTCTCAACCTCAAGGGACCACTGCTGCAGGTTTTCGTTGTTGCGTTTCACGCGATCTCTAAGCTGCGCACGAAAGACGTGTTCCAGGTGAGCGTCGCCATATCTAGCCTCCAATGCCTCAAGGAGCTGCTCGTAGGTTACTTTCATACTGAGAGCTCCCAACACAGTTAAGGCTTGGTCACGCAGGCCTAGGGTGAGTGCAGTCATGGCCTGACTTTTATTCCAGCCGTTCACCTCAATGACAGCCTCGAACTGGATTTTGTAGGCCTACCAGGAAGAAGTCCCGTCGAACGGCGGCACTTCGAATCCACGTAGAAAAGGTGTTGTAGCTACTACGGGAGCTGTAATTCCATCCCCCAGTTTGAGGTCGTCCAACGTCAGCGTCCAGCGTCCAGAGGAGTCACGGACAAGATTGGCTACATCTTGAAGCGAGCGTCCATTAAGACATACTACAAGCCGCTGAAGAAGATTAGTCAATTTTTACCATCCATCAAATGTAATATTCCTCTACAAGATTAGAAGATTCCTCTGCAGGTGTGTACAAGCTAGATTGTGAATATGGTCTCTCTTACATAGGTCAAACAAAGAGATCTATAAAAATCCGCGTGAAGGAACATATAGCTGATGTGAAGCACCGACGCTCCGGGAAGTCTGCAGTCTGCGAACATGTTCAAGATCGTCCCCACCACTACATTAGATTTGATAAACCACAAATTCTCAAATTCTCAAATTCACAAATTCAATTTGAATCATGCTCATTCAATTTGATCGTTTTCTTTTATGAATTATCTGAAAATGTAAAAGTATCAAATATAAAAATACTAGATATCGAACTAAAAGTGTCGATACTACTCAGATACTCGATACTTTTTGCGGATCCCTAGTCGTGTCAATGTCATGTCTGTTATATGTAGCTTGTAGTAGTTTGCTACATATTAAATTTAGTCACAAATTTAGCTATGCATTTAATTGCCGCTATCAACATAAATTTTTGCGCAACGCACATGCAGTTCAACTTCCCTATATAAAAAAGAAAAGAGTACTCTGTGAGTTCAACTGATGAACCTTTCCGGTGCTTTACTAAAAGCTATTTTTTATTTTCGTTATTTAATTTAATTTATGAAATAAATTTAAAATTTATCTTATACGCCAAAATGCGAAAGAACTGTTTTAACGAAAGTGTCACTTCTGTGGGAAATTCTTGGGTTGTGTGTAGATCCAAATCGCATTCCGGGCGAATATATTACTTCAATACATTGACTGGAGAAGCAGCATGGAATCTAAGTGAAGCTGAGGTAAGAAGATAAATACTTTGATTTGGCGATGTGCGTTCCCCTACATCGCTTATTTTTCGTCTTATTCTTTTTTTACTAAAAGAGATACAATTAAATTTCATTTATTGCAGATTGAAAAAGCTAAAAAGACTACTAAAATTATTGAAAATACTGGAGTCCGGATTGAAGGTTATCCCGAGCCAAGTGATCCTCCACATGATCCGGCTTATGCTATTCATTCATTCAATAAATGTGCAACCAGTAATCAACCTAAGCAACAGCATTTAATTTCACCATTTACAGGAGTTCAGTGTTCTTGTAATCATTCAAACCCTATGAATAATGTTGGTTTAGGAATTCCTATTGCATCAGGATTGAATCCTAACATTTGGAATTTTCCTGTAGCTCAACAACTGCTTCTTGCAAATACCATTCCTTCATTGTTAAGTCAGACTCCATCCACAATAATAAACATGCCTAATAAAGTAGATGAAAAAGAAATCAGATATGTACAATCAACTGCAATGCCACTAAACCAGCGTTTCAAAAATCGGACTATTATTGGTAATGGATACAATTCTTCAAAGAAAATTAGAAAATTTAATTCTTGGAAGAATAATAAAACAGGCACAAGAAGTTTCCATCATTGTAGTACACCTAAAAATGATTTAAGGCAATTATTATCAACCAGAAGGCGCAGAAACTCTTCTAGCAATAGTAAGTATGAAATAGAATAAAATGCTTTTTTTGTTGTAAAAAAAGTTACAAGCGAAATAACAATCCAACTGATGGTAATGTGGTAGAGCCATGCTGCAGTTATATTAGTAGTATAGTTGTAGCTTGAATGGGTCAGCTCGACTGGGACTGGACCATGCTCTCACAGAATACCAGTGTAAAATAGTAGCTTAATGCTGCTGTGTTTCGTATGATGAGTGTAGAGAACCAGATACCCTTTTTACTGGAAATGAGGCATTCCTTCTTAGTCCTCACAGGTGACAATGCATCTGCATTTTGATTCGTAGATCAAGGATCTACATCAAGGATAGATGTAGATGTCTATGGGCCACAGCAACCACTTATGATCAGTTGGACGGTGTGCTCTATAAAAAAAAGTGGCTGCCGTGTGTACATGGAGAGCTGCAGCTAACTTCAAAAAAGAGGGTTAAAGATATGTTGTCATCTCTGAGGACTAAGATTAGGCCCATACAGATGGGTGTCCCTCAGGGCTCTATTCTTGGCCCATTCCTATTTTTATTGTATATTAATGACTACCTTTGCCTTTTGTTGTAGGGAATAATTTTGATATAGTATTATTTGCTGATGATACTTCCTTGATTTTTAAACTTAAATGTCTAACATTTAAAAGTGACAAGTTGAATAATGCTATATCAAAATTAGTGCATTGATTTAACATTAATAATCTACATTTAAACGGCAATAATACTAAATGTATTAAAATTACTACAACAAATGTTAAAAATCTGAATATCAATGTGTTTTTAAAGGGGAAAGAATGGAGTCCTGTTGAATCTTCTATTTTTCTTGGCATCACTCTCGACGCTAAGCTTCAGTGGGGCCCCCATATATCTAAACTAGCAAGCAGACTAAGCTCTGCAATTTTTTAAGTTTATGTGGTAAAAAAGATTAGAGATCTCACTAGTGTCCAGACAGCTAAATTAGTTTATTTCAGTTATTTCCATAGCATAATGGCCTATGGGATTTTGCTATGGGGAATTGCAGCCGATTTAGAATCTATTTGTTTTGCAGAAGAGGGTCATAAGAGCTATTTACAATCTAGAACCGAGAGAGTATCTTAGAGAAAAATTTAAGTGAAATTAAAGAAATAAATATATTAACATTGGCCTCTCAGTATATTTACGAAAATTTAATGTATGTTCACAAAAACAAAGATAGTTTTAGTAAATAAAGTAATATACACTCTGTAAACATTAGAAACAAACACAAGTGATACCATCTTCTCGACTCCACAGAGCAATAATTCATTCTTGGGGCAATGTATGAATATGCTATTACATCAAAGTCCCAGAAAATATATGAGGTCTCTCTATTACCAAGTTTACATATTTAATTAAACAAAAACTGTATAAAAAGGGTTATTATAATATAAATGAATATATGGTTGATAATAACCCCAGGGAATGAGGTGTTTGCTTCCAAGGTGTTTCAAAAATAAATTTTGTAAATATTTTGTAACCATTCCACCAACCATAACATTGTAAAATTTATTTAAAAATCTTCTGTCCCGCTAGGATTCCTGCTGGTTTTTCCCAGAACAGGGGTTTTTTCCGAACCAGTGTAAAGTAAAAAATGACTCAATAACAATTACATGTAATATATTGAATAAAAATTATTTTGTACTATTCTAATGCCTCATCCTGTAATTATACTGGCATACAGAAGTAAGAAAAAAGGGAGAAGAGAGTGAGTGGAAGAGAGAAATAGGTAACTCCTAGCTAGAAAAGGAATCTTACCTTACAGTAGTAATATTATTATTATTATATTTTATTTTATTTATTATTATTATATATTTTTATAGATACCAGTTTACTCAATGCTGTCCCTCAAAATTCTGGTACTGAAACATGTGACAAGGAAAAGTCTGATGATATACAAGTAAGTTCATTTTTAATATATACTATAAGGATAAAATACAATATAAGCAAAATTTTCTTACGTCTTTCAAAGGTGTGTTACACATAATTAATTTTAATAATGAATGTATCAGGGCCTACAGATAATGTATATATAACATTTTCATAAAGTTAAATCACAGTCTAAGCCCTAAATATGGTACCTAATTTCCTTCATTTATTTTTGTTTCAGAAAGATGCTGATGACATAAGCCCCCAAATAAAATTTAATGTATCAGGGCTTAAAAACATTGCAAAACACAATAATGATGAGGATTTATGGTATATTGTAACTGATACAAATGTTATACTAAATAACCATAGATTTATAAAAACTTTGTTGGATTCTGGTAGGTAATATTTTTTTTGTAATATGTAATTTTTAGGGGATGCTTTTTTAATAAGAAACAATTTTTTTTTTCAAAAACCCACAATGGGTGTAAATATTTGTAATCGAAAAAGAATTAAATACAAATAAGAAAATTAAGATAAAATTGAAAAGAGTTTTAAAAAGGGTATGATTTATCGCAAGGTCTGTCATATAATCAACTAATTATAACTATCCTTACTTCTTCCTACCTTTGTACGTATTTGTGTTTCGTAGAGATAGATACACCAATAATATCAAATATTGGTACTATACCCTACCTCTTAATCATAACAAAACCGAGAAAATCCTTCAGAGCTGCCATTGTCACCTTTGCCCAATTCTAATTAAAATGTACCAGTTTAAAAAAGCTATATATGTTTCATATCAAAAATTTAAATAAATTAGAGACTCTATCTATTTACATACCCAACATAATTCCAATTAGTCACAAACTCATAAAGGTGCAAAAATCTGTCCGTAGGAATCCATAAGTGTAGAAAAAGGTAATATGACCTTTACAATCAAACTTCTTATATCACTTTAAAAGACCATATTATAATTCAGAGAATATGTAAAAAAAAATCCAAAATATTTTTATGAGTTTGCTCCACCACCACAGAACATTATTTATACATTTGAGAATTAAAACTACCTCTAACAAAATTAAAAAGACTTGGGAGTAAAATCAATATTAAAACTGGCAAGATGAAACTGTAAAATCAATATTGAAACTAAACAACTCAGTTTTCCAACTGACGTTTAACAATTTAACAAACCTATGTTTTGTATGTGGTAGAGCCATACTGCAGCTATATTATAGTTGTATCACGAATGGGTTGGCTCAACCGGGGCAGGACCACACTCACAAAATACCAGTGCAAAATAACAGCGTAATGCTGTTGTTTCATGAGTGTAGAGAACCAGAGACCCTTTTTACTGGAAACGAGGCATTCCACCTAAGTCCTCATGGGTGACAACGCATCTGCATTTTGATTCGTAATCGAGGATAGTTGTAGATGTCTATGGGCCACAGTGACCACTTAAAATCAGGTGGATTGTGTGCTCATTTGTCAGCCTATCGTATAAAAAAAGATATGAAAACGAAACATATCGACCCGCCTCATGAGGACCAGAATGGAATGCATTGATTCCAGTTTTACTGGCATCAATGCATTCCACTCAGGGGTGACAACACATTTGCATTTTGATTCTTATTTGAGGATAAATGTCGATCCACAAAAAGTGGGCCGCCGTATCCACTTACCATCGAGTGTTCTATGTGCTTGTTTGTTACCCAATGCTATATAAAAAAAAAATCGGATCAAGATGTTGCAATGGCTTTTGAGTAATGTTTTACTGACATTCCAATCTTGACAAAAGATGGGTAGTCTCAATTCAAACTGGCCTCTATGATTGAAATTCGTTCTGGAGGACTTTATCATTAACTTAACAACCCTGTTGCCTCTCCTGGATACAATATAACATATTTTGTTAGGTAAAAGGAAATATAAAGAAATAATTTAATCAAAACATCTGAAGGACTGCTATGTTTACGATCCAAATATATATTACTTATGAATTTTTTATTACGATGTAAAGTCAGATGTAGGTAGCCACATAGCCTATATCTGGTAATACTATAACTGTATTCACAGTGCGTTAAGTTAATCGTTCTGTAGAAATAATATACATTGGACATAATATTTATAATTCTTGGTCAAATTACATGTTCTTTATTATGGTGGTTTTGATCTTTCACCAATGTCAGCGTTAAAATGTTTATTAAGTAAAATAGCTCAGCAGATAAAAATACAATGCCCATGCACTAAAGAAGATTGTGGTAAAACAAATATCTTATTTTATTCACTAATGATTGTACTAGTGAATTACCTAGAGCAAATGATAAACACAATAGTTACAGTTGTATGAGTTTGTTATTATGAACAAACATTAAAGTTAGTTAAGTAGGAAAAGAATTGGAGATTATTAGGTGACACTGTGGCTAAAAAGAAAACACAACTAAATACATGAGTTATAGACGAGACAGTACAGAACAAACATCTAGTTGTAGGAGGGGAGTAGTCTGAGCAGGGAATACACAATAATTATAGTTTATTAATATACATTTGAATATATTTTGAGATTATATTCACATTTATGAAATCAGGGATAGTTAATATAGCGTATTAAGAGGGCATATGCGTTTCGCGTCGAAAACTACATGTTTTATGGTTTTTCCAAAGGCGATATCGTAACGACGTGAGGAGATTATTTGCTGAAAATTAGGGCTTTAGAAAGATGAAGTATTTATTTAGTACATAGCAATGCAAAATCATAGTTTTTAATGACGGTTTTTTAGGGCGAAGACAATCCCTTCACTGTGTTTTACGAAAATATGCATCAGAGTTATCTTTCAGGTTGAATACAACCATTATTATAAGCTAAAATACTTTATTTTAAGCGTTATTATAATGAAATATATAGTCTTTTAGGGTATAGCAAAACCTAAATTACGATAATATTTCGATTTAATATTATAAAATCACCAAAACTGTCTACTTCAATGTAATTTTTTCCATGTATTTGCTTATAAACATATCTATTTTAATTATTTTATCAAAATACATGTAATGTTAAATATCCAAAAAAAAATTTTAGCTCGTTTTATTTTGTCAATTATTTTATATAATTATTTTAAAAATACTATAAAACATCATGCGCAGACGCAGTTCGATTCAGTACGCTCCGGGTAATCCCAACGACAGGACGTATTACTTTTTCTCACCGACACCGCGCGATCGCGTTGATACACCGATAGGGCTCTACTAGACCATACTATAACTAGATACCTATAGCACCATCGAGCATTTTAAACGATTCACTTTTATAAGCGATATTTTTGGTAGTAAGTAATTTTGAAATATGTTAATGATTGTAATATTTAAATATTAAATGATGTAATGGTGGCAAATTTTCATTTCATACATATTTTTTTTAGAAATGAGTAATTGAACGTAAGCAATTCGGATCAAGTAAAAATACAAAATCGTTGGCTTTCACCTTTGGCTCCGTGGCGGAGTGACTTGGTAATGATTTGTAGCGCTGAGCGCCGCAGGTTCGAATCCCACATGGAACAAAAATTTGTATTACCTACAAATAATTGTTCCAGGTCTGGATGTTTGTCGTTGTGAAATTAATGTATTTAAACTGCCCCAACGATGTATGTACTTAGAAAAAATTCCTAGTGTGGAGATAACGTTATGATTAAACAAAGACATGCCATCAAAAACATAACTTGTAAAATAACCAAGTCTCGCAATGATGATACGGCCGTGCCGCTGTTTTGGTCTACATGGCGGGGGCACTACCGTGCCCCCAGATATAAAACATATGAGCCGTGCTTGAGTTGAGTAGCTCAATGGCGTAGTGCTCGCCGTAAACGCGAACAATCCGGGCTCGATCCCCGCTAGTGTTGCCAGGTGTCCCGATTTGCGCGGGACGTCCCGATTTTCAAAGGTCTAGTGACACGTCCCGATTAATCATTGATCGGGACGCCAAATGTCCCGATTTTCACTAACCTTCTTATTCTATACTTTAATCCATAATTTTGACAGCAAAAATGATTTTTAGTTAGCTACTACCACCTTAAAATATTTTTACTACAATATTGTCTCACCAGTCGAAAAAAAAATCACAAAAGTTTTAAACAGAATTATATTAAAATGAGTGATTTGAAAAATTCAGGGACTGCAAAAAAAAAACAAGTAGTTCAAAAATGTTTTAATTTGCCTAAAATGAAAAAAATTCAGTTTTTACGATGTTTGGATGAAAAGTTATTCGTTCATGAGATCAGACTCGAATAATAATTATAAAGCACAAAAGTAAAGTTACAGTCACAATTTCTCGCATTACTCGCATTTTTACAGCATCTTCTTCATCTTCGCATATTTACAATTAGCGTTGACCATCTGAGCTACCACGGCTCTCAATAAAGCACAAAAGGCTACAAAGCAACCTATATTTTGTAGTCATTCTAGTTGTCCGGATATGAAAACCAAATCCCTGATTATTTTTACCTTCCGTCCCGAAATTTTACTTGCTAGACCTGGCAACACTAATCCCCGCCGACACTGATGAAATTGTTAGTTTGATGAATTATGTTTACATTATGAAACAGAATAAAAGTTTATCAAATGATATATATTTTATACAATACATATTTTACAATTAGAACATATACATATTATAATATACTCAATAGGGTGAAAATGTAAAGCCGACTTCAATTTACTAAAAGAATACCTAAAACAATTTCCACATATTAGCCTCCGATTTCTATACACTATATAAGTAAGCCATTATATGGAAATTATTTTTTTATTATTTTAGTTCCAACAGTATCAAAGACAGGTATATAATCAACGATCAAAGTGATTCGTAGTAGTCGTTAGGCAACTATTATAGCCTCACGCTCGCCCTGACACGCACACAGAGATAACATTGTAGTGTGCGTCATTATTACGCCGTTCCAAAGCGATCGCGTAGATTTCGACTTGGACATATTTGAATATGCGCTCTTAAGAGGATAGAGTAAGTCAGCTCAAATTCTAATTTCGCCCCCACTTCCCCGCGCGTCGTATGCTATGTACCGATATGTTTGTAATCACTAATACTGTAAGTAGAAAGGTCGTTAGACACTTATTTCATTAGGTTTATCATATTTATGCCTGTTTCTTAACGCCAAGCCAGCCGCTTCTTATTTTTATCACGGTTATTTCCCATTTTAATTTTACGTCGTACTGTTGCGTAATGTATATTCTGATCGTAAGCGACACAACTTCTCCCTTCAAAAGCCTAAGCGATACTAACGGGGCGACTGGAATCAAGCTCAAGACGCCGATAGTTTAGGTAATTTCTTTTTACAGTGAAAATAATGGTATTTAAAAAAAAGTAAATAACATAAGCACTGCTTTATAGTTAGTATGCAAAGTTTCATGATCTTATTTAAAGCATTTCATGAATAACAGCGGTTTATTGTTTATTTTGGAGGTAACTTTGGATTTTTTTTCTATCGAGAAAGTTTTACGAAATCGTGTTTTCGTCTAACATAATCATTAACATTAATCCTCAACTTTACCATATATTTATTTCAAAATTAATGCTGCAATATTTTCGGCATAACGAAGGATCTTGCTAAGCCATTTGACATTATATTTCCCCTTAACATTCACCGATCGAAGGAATGTTTTGGAAGGAAACCATATATAGAAATTGGGTGATTTTGATAATTGAAAAAAAGATGGTTTGGATTACCTTCATCCAGACCACATAAGTAATGTTAATAGTTAGCTAGTATATTTTTAAATTAAATAAATTTCAAGAAATCACAAAACAATTAGTCTTGTTACTTGTTACATTACTATCTAAATTGCTGATATTTATAATTGCTTTTAAATAATAGAAAGTTTTGTTTTAGATAAAGAATGTCGTCTTAAGGTGCCTGAACATGTTATAATAGAAATTCGAAATGCCAGTAGAAGTTCAAATAAACGTGAAATGAATCACGCTCGTCGTGCCATGTTCTTTTTGTCGCAAAATATTAGAACTGGTTTAGCTACCACTGGTGAGTGTTTATTTACGAGTAAAAAATTTAGATCCTATTAGGTTATGTAATGTGACTTAAGGGCGCAGCCGAGCTATTTGGAGGCAGATCAGCTCGTTAGTCTGCATCACCTCGCGTTAAGCCCAAACCCCGACTTTGGCACCGTTAAGTGTCGGTGCTTGGTATGCTGGTGTCCGCTGTCCCGTCGCTGGTGACGACTTTGCCTAGGTGCCCTCTCTTCCGGCCGCAACGCAGCGAGTGCTTCTACTCCCGGCAGCAATGAGTTCTTCTGGCAGCGAATCACAATTTCTATCTCGCGGCACCACGGTTTCAGGTCAATTCTCCGGTGTCTATCCGGCAGGCCTCCTATGCTGGCCATGGAATTGGCTCTGAACAACCAAAAGGACAGAACAGTATTTATGCACGAGACATTATTAACTAAGTTAAGACAGTAATAATTGTTATCACTTATTTGACTGGGCTTATAGTTTCACTGCTGGGTACAGACTTCCACTTGCAGCAATTAGTCAGCCGCATGTTTTGTGCGTGTTGGTGGACATCAACTGTCACCGAAATATATTTCTTATTTCAAAATATTTCTTACACATGTAAATTTCCTCATGGAGTTTTCCTTTACCGCCGAGTATGTGGTAAATCAGCACATAAAAAATATAGGTGTGTCAGCTCTTAGGCTATGAGCCCGCCGTTAATTTCAATGTAAGTGAGTGAGAGTGAACAACCTGGTTTCAATCCTTGCAGTCTCCAGTGACACATTGAATATAATTTTACTAATTGAATTCACTTTTAGCAAAGGATCCCTTAATGGCAAATAATACTGGAAAATCTTATATTTTGGACTGTTGCTTGAAATTGATAGATGAAAATTATCATATTGTAAGTAATATGGTTTCATAAAAATTATAATATTACTTTTATTTTAAATAAATATTTTAATGTACATTCATTTATATACTTCAGGTTCTTTTATGCAATGATAAAGAACTTCAAAATCATGAAAAAGCAAAACGAATACCTATGTTTACTCTAAATGAAGTTAAAGCGCTTTTAAGTACTAGTGTAGAAGATGACGACTCTCAGCCCAGTGTAATATCGTTATCAAATAAACCTCTCATTAAGATAACAATATCAAATAACCAAACTGATACAAAAAACGAAAATGTTACTCAATCTCAGGAAATACAATTAACACCGTTTGAAAGCACAAAAATAAATAAAGAAAAAAGCAAAATGGAAGCTATAAGTGTAGGGGTTAATTCAAACAATTTAACAGAAGTAAGAACTATGGTTAATGTTGGAGTCCAAACCGAATTTTTATTCGATCAGTCCTCTCAGACTTCTAGTGCCCAAAGTGACAATCAGCCTATGTCGGTAACAAATTTTAAAAATTCAGACGACAAGCAAGACAAATTAGATTCTGATGGGCCTTCAGAGGGAAAAGAAATTAAACTGAATCGTAGTAAATCGGACCAATCGTCTAAAAATGCAGATGATATCACAGAAAAGACAAGTTTCAAATGGCGTAGAAAGAGGCGTAGATCTCTTCTTGAACGTTTCAATGTCCCTCATGAACAAGATATGAACATATCTCATGCATCTAATAGCACAGTATGTAATAAAAGATTAAAACAGGGCGAAAATTCTGAATTAGAAAAACAGTCGCCTGGTCATGTATCCAGTAACAGCGAATCTCAAGTTTCGGTAGGTAATCACCATAGCTTTGTTGATAATGTAATAGTAGAAGAAACTTCGACATCAGGAATCATATCGAATACTAACAGTAATAATGATTCTGATAACGAATTAGTTGAAAACTCACAAAAAGATATATTATCTATTTCTTGTTCAAATAAAGAAACGGAAACGGAAAATTATAAAAATGTTATGTTCGAAATAACTAATCAAGCTATAGAAGAAAATTTAAAAAGAAGATGCGATGAATGGGTCTCCCGGTTTATTCAAATAATGGAAGAAGTTTTAACACAAATTTTACAAAAAGATCCCTTATGTTTCCCTAATTCATTGTCACCACCGTGGACTCTGTTTGAAGCGACACAATGTATTAAAATGAAATTTCGTATGGACTGCGATATAGTTGATGCTGCAACCAAATTATCTGAAGTTCTAATGAAAATCAGTGATAAAAAAGGTAATTAAATATGTACTTATTTTAATGTTTCTATGAAATGTATGGATTCTTAATAATTCAGGCTTTTAAACATTTCAGGTACAATAAATATAAATATGGATCCACATATGTATATGGAGATGTACAGTTTTGGTGTATATTTAATTGACACATTGCAAGTAAGTTTTTACCTTTTTATTTTAATATTGAAATAAAAATTACTCACACAGATTACATACAATCAATCATACAAATATATGATCAACGCAATGGATATTGGCTAATAAACAGCCTCACTAAACTTCAGATATAATAATATTTTATGTTGAATTTTAGCAGAAATCATTGCTATATACAGCGTAAAACTCCCATTATGGTCGTACTAAACTTAATATTTATTATTATACAGGCTGTTAGTGTAAACACCGTTGTCCTTGAAACCAGTGGTTTGGTTTCACTTATAGAACGTAAATTCAATGAAAAATAACAACATTTTTTTTTAAAATAAAATCTCAATTTTTCCTTAATTCCTCAATTTTTGCTTGTCCTAAGCCAGGATGAAAGTATGAAGGAAAAGTTACATCGCAGGTTATGTGTACCTATTGTATTTTTATGTTGATTGTTGTGTAGGTAGCTAGCGCAGGCGGTGATCTTTACAGTGATTACGTCACTCAGGCGCATAGGGTGTCCATGAATTTACGGACGGTGACGGACAGAAACTTTTTAAATTTTATGAAAGAAAATAGCGTTTTTTTTTAATTCATTGAATTTACGTTCTATAAGTGAAACCAAACCACTTGTTTCAAGGACAACGGTGTTTACACTAACAACCTGTGTATTGTATTTGTGATTAGTTAAAACTATAAGTTTAGGTATTATTAGTTTACGTTGGACAATTTTCCAAAACTTCACGTCTAAGCGCATATTTTGCGGATGGGTCTCTGGAAATCTCCTCGAAGTTCAGCAGACCTTTGGTGAATTGAATGCAGATGCGTTGCCGGCCTTTTAAAAAGAAGTAGGCTCTTTTCTTGAAGGTCCTTAAGTAGTATCGATCCGGAAAAATCTCTGTTGGTAGTTGATTCCACAAGGAAGTTGTACAAGGAAGAAAGCTTCTTTTAAATCACAATGGTGGACCGCCAGTCATCCAGATGGTACAGATGGTATCGCGAGTTTTGTCGCGATATAAGATGGTGTAATTGTGCGGCTAGAATTAGTCCAAACAATTCCTCAGAGCACTCCCCGTGGTAAATGCGATAAAATATGCAAAGAGATGCAACATCTCTTCGCGTAGCCTGTGAGTCAAGCCGATCGAAGCTGATAGGAACAGTATTCCATGCGCTGCCAAGCCTGCGCCTTGTAAAGTTGCAAGTGGTGTACCGGCATGACATATTGTCCCATTCTGTTGAGCATCCATCCATCTTTTTAGAGGTCAATTTGGCCTTCTCTTCCAAGTGACCACAAAAGTGCACGTCACTCGATATGTCGACGCCGAGGATTCCGACTAAGGCAACAAGGGGAGTGCCTTGAAACTAATGAGATACAACGAAGGAGTTCTTTTTAGTTCTTTTGGGGATTGAACTGGACTAGATTTAGTCGCCTCCAATTCGAGACTTTGTTCAACAAAGTCTCGACTTCAGACACAGGTTTGTTCCGGTACCCGGCGACGTTTTCCCGAGAAATATTGGCACGGCCGGTGTATAAAGCATTGCCAGTGCTGTCTTCCGTATAGCAATGACTGTTACTGGTTTGCAACATATCATTGATATGCAGAAGAAACAGCGTTGGTAATAGCACGCAGCCTATGTGCTTGTAATCAGAGCGTGCAACGTCTACTACAGTCTTGATGTTCCAATCTGTAAGAAAATGGTGATGCAATTGCACAATTTCTCGGGAATCCTATAGGAGGAAGGAAGCTTCGTAAGAAGTGGTTTGTGCCAAACCCGATCGAGTCTTCGCTTTTTCCAAACTAACGGCCAACGCCTACCTCTTGGACACTACTGCCTCCGCAGATCTATGAGTTAGGTAACCCAGAAGATCACCAATTGAGCGACTCCGGGTTATTCCATTTATCCACCTTAACATTCGTTGGAATTACAAATTCGTTGGAATCTAGGCATAAAGTAATTTAAAATGAAATTAAAGACAAACTTCCAATCGTGACGTTTTTGGAATTCTTGCAAAATTAGTCTCCAGTTCTTCGATAACACGTCTATGGTAGCAAAGAAATTAAAAAAAATGATTGCATATGTACATTAAAAGTAACCAATTTATCCAGGATATTAAATAACGTCTACTCAGTAATGAAATTAGTGTTGATAATTGCCTAGACACATTGCAGAATTTATTATTTACGCAATAATACAGTGTGTCCAGTAAGGAAGATCATTTTTTGATTTAAGAAAAATAATACAAGTTAATGAATACAAAATATTTATTTAATACGACAATATTAAGAAGCTCAGCGGGTTTAATTTCCTCTAAATGTTTGCCATCTCTTTGTACACATTCTTCTAATCGGACTCGTAAATTTTCGAACACTTTCTTACAGAGTTGCGGGGAGATATTGTTTATTTCTTGCCGGATATTTTCTTTCAGCGTCGCTAGTGTTCGTGGTTTGTTTTAATAAACTTTTGAATAAACTTTTGACTTTAGATAGCCCCACAGAAAATAATCACATGTTATGAGGTCGGGTGATCTGGATGACCAGTAAATGTCTCCAAACCTCGATATCATTTTGTGTGAGGAAAAAGTGCCTTTACCATCCCTTCCTCGCCTTTTATTTTTTTGCCTATTATCAAAAATTTAATGTGAGACCAAATGATCTCGACCATTTGCTAATCTTATTTAAGTCGCCATTCATAGCTTCAATCGCCAAGTTGGCTTTGGATGCCACAAAATTACGATATAACTGCAAATCGTCAGCATAAAGGTGGTAGTTAGCTGATATGATCTTGGTGATACAATTAATAAAAAACCGCAGTTACATTGTACCATTGGTAGGACATTTCACCTGAACGAACACATTGTGACCGATCACGAAGATAGGAGTCAAACCATTGAAAAACATCTTTCATTCCCGCCGACGGGGTCGCGTTGGCGCTGAGTTTATCTAAGCACTCGCGGTCGGCGGGGCGGCCCCCCCCCCCCCCAAATGAAAATCGGCCTCATCGCTAAAAACAACGCTATTTGAGTCTACGCTATGTAGGAAAAACTTCCAACATTTTTTTCAGCACAAGATTTCCGTAATAAGTAATAACTTTCTTTTAAAGCTTGCTCTAACTGTATTCTATAGGGATAAAAACGCATTTTTTTTCTTAACTATGACTTGAACGATTAGGGATTCCCAAAACAGCCCAATGCTGAATATAATTTAAAAAGAATTTTAAAATGTTGCAAACAAATAATTTTTAACAGTTTAAGTGAAGAGAGTGAAGCTATGAATTTTGTTTGATTTCAATTGTTCCTTTTTCAATAGTCAAAAATGCGTTTATTTTGTATATTATATCTATGTTTTATATACATACCTTATATACAAACTTAAACATATTATAATGAATTACGGTCGAATTTCGACCATTAGTCAAAAATAATGGCACTAATTATTAAAGAAGAATCATCAAAAGATATTGTAAAATATTTTAAGACTATTGATATTAAGAGAAAAGTTATTGCGTCTATAATAGATACAATCGCACCTCAACTATCTATTATTTTTGATACTAGTATCGAATCTGGTGTGTTTCCTGATTTAATGAAGCATAGTAAAGTAATACCTTTATTTAAATCTGGTAGTACATTGGACCCCGCTAATTTTAGACCTATTTCTGTACTGCCAACACTTAGTAATTTTTTGAAAGAATTATTCTTGATCAAATGTTTATTTTTTGAAAAAATTATTCTTGATGAAATGTTAATTTTTTAATGTTAATAATTTACTTCATAAAAATCAATTTGTTTTAATAAAAAACAATTTCACAAGGGGTCGCTCGACAACTGATGCTGGTGTTGAGCTGATTAAATATATATTTTATGCATGGGAGAATTCACAGGATGCTTTGTGTGTGTTTTGTGACCTATCCAAGCCTTCGATTGTGTTCACCATGAAACATTAATCAGGAAACTTCAACACTACGGTGTAAGAAGCGATGCTCCTTAATTAATTATTTCATATTTAAGTGACAGAACGCAAAAAGTTGTCATTAATAGTATGAGTTCTTCCGGGTCGATTGTACAAATGGGCGTGCCTCAGGGCTCAATTCTCGGCCCCTTTCTGTTTCTTGTATATATTAATGACTTACCTTACATAGTAGGGGATAACCATGATATAGTATTATTTGCTGATGATACTTCATTAATTTTCAAATTAAAAAGACAATTATTAAATTACGACGAAGTAAATAATGCTATAGTTAAGTTAGTTAATTGGTTTAACGTTAATAATTTGCATTTGAATGGAATTAAAACTAAATGTATGAAATTCGTAACTCTTAATGTTAAACATGTCAATACTAATGTAATTTAAAATGGGGAGGAACTGAGTCATGTTGACACCACCATTTTTCTTGGAATCACACGGGACGCAAAGCTTCAATGGCTCCCCCATATATCAAAACTAGCTAGCAGACTTAGTTCTGCAGCATATGCTGTAAAAATGATTAGAACTCTTGCCAGTGTTGAAACAGCTAGAATAGTTTACTTATTTCAATAGCATTATGTCGTATGGTATTTTGCTATGGAGACACGCGACTGACACTGAAATTATATTTATTTTACAGAAGAGGGCCATTAGAGCAATATATAATTTAAAACCAAAAGAGTCACTGAGACAAAAATTTAAGGAAATTAATATATGTAATGTACGTACACAAAAATAAAAGTAGTTTTGCGAAAATAAGTGATATTCATTCTGTAAATACTATGAACAGACACAAGCTAGTAGAACTAGTTACTCGACTCCACCGAGTCAGTAATTCATTCTTGGGGCGATGTATACGCTTTTACAACAAAATTCCAGAAAATATACAAAATTTGTCATACACAAAGTTCAAAAATGTTATTAAACTAAGTTTGTATAAAAATTATTATAATATTAAGGAATTTATGGATGATGATAACCCCTGGGAAGGGTGATCGCTACCAAGCTATTTCTAATTTGTTTTGTGTTGCTAATTTTAAACATGATTGTAAGCTATTATTGGAAAAAATACTTCCGCTGGGTTTCTTGCTGGTTCTTCCCAGGACAGAGGTTTTTTTTGCGAACTAGTGGTAAATGAAATAAGTGACCTTTCAATAAGTATTGTTATAATCTACATTGAATAAAAAAGTTTCTGTTTCTGTTTTATTAAGTTTTCATTCAAATATGGCACCAAAATAGTACAGAGCTGTAATACCATTTTTCTAAATTGTTTAAGATTTCGAAGTATCCATTCGATTGTAACTATTTATATGTAAAACGTAAAAAATAAAATACTAGTGTTTATTGTATGTGGCATACTGTTAATTCATATGCCGATTTGAGTAATGTTCCTTACTTTTTGATTAGGCTGCAAATAACAACAGTGAAGATCTTCAAACAGCTGCTGAATCACTTGCGAAATTATTAAGCGATATTCAAAATCCGAATGCAGACACTAGTCATAACGACTCTTTTGCTGATATAACACGGGAAGACGAAGTTGTTTCAGATAAAATTAATATTGATAACACAGGCAAGTATTCTAATGTTTTTTTTCTTTGTGTGTACTCTACACGTAAGGAAATCCATCAATCGCATTTATAGGTTTAGTACGATGGCGATGAGGGCGATTTTCGGTAAAAGATTTTATGGCCTGCGACGGATATTATTCATCTCGTATTTACGTCGCAGTTCTCTGCTTTAAAGCAACACCGTGAAAAAATGCACCTCCTTTCATAGTGCGTAGAAGTGGAATTTTGATATAGATAAATTCATGTCTTTATTTTGAATTTGATTGTTCAAAAACACGATTGTATAATTTTGACTCGATCATAATTATTTGCGAAAACACCTCTAAAAAACGACTATAGTTGAAATTACAACGAAATTACTTAATCTATATGTTTGGGAATCACTCAAATAAATTCATAACGTCAATATTCATAATTTACTTGTTCATTATTTTGATTACTTAAATCAATAATTTTTTAAAAAATATTTTAAGATTCTGTCAATTTCTAAGCGCTTTTAATCGTCGCGGGCGCTACGCAATTTTAGACCTTATGACGGCATTTTTTTTCAAGTTTTTATAGAAATTATGTATTCACTCGGATCAGTACGGCGATAGCCTTTTCGATGTGTTGTCTCAATCAGTCAGTTGTTTGGTCGGCTAGACCTTTATTTAACGCCTATATCCAAATTAATGCTTAGCGAAACCAATACAAATAAAGCTTAGCGAAAACAATCAGGTGCTACTTCGCTGAAATTTATTATGTTAAAGATGTTCACCTTATTGATTAAAACTACTTTAACGGATTTTATCGCGTTTAATTTAAATTTTTTTCCCGACGTTTCGGGTGCTTTCCAGCACCCATGGTCACGGGGACTTAATTAACTAAGGCCTGATTTTTTTATTGTCAGATAGGCTTTATCGTAAATTATAAATAGAATAGAATCGTAAAATAGAAAAATTATAGTTGTAAAAATTCAGTAAAAACTTATACGGAATCATATTTTTTTTCCAAATTATTTATTACTTATATATTTTTTCATAAAACAATTTGCATTGTATTTAAAATTACACATAATAAATTTACGTAGAAATATTGATTACATAACTAGTTAAAAATTGCGTTAAAACCGAATTCAAGTCATAAAATATATCATTTCTAATTTTCAATTATAACATAACTCATTATTAATAATTGTCGAAGTAGAATAGTATATTCAATATTTTAAAAAATATCAACAGTCTTAGTTTGAACTGATCAGTTGAACTGACCGCGTGTGGCGTCCATTAGATTATGTTTAAATAAAAATAATTTATCATTTCCATTGATTATTTACAGAGACAGAGGTTGATGAGTATTCTCCCGCTGCCCATCAAGGTGATCTCTACTCACCAGAAAAACTGTCTTGTAGTAAATCACTGGATTCTCCACTCAAATATAATCTACGTTCACAGTGGAAAAGAACAGTTCAAGTATGAAAAAGTTATACTCACAAGCTAATTATATTTTATAATTTTAATTAAACAAAATAATGTGTTTCTTTTCCTCAGAAAAATAATGATAAGACTGTGGTTCGATTTAAAAAAACAGATCCAGAGACTACATTTTTCTCAAGCTTGAATCTACAAAAGATAAATGAAGCCAATGAAAATGAAGTGTCTCCTGTCATTGAGCCTCATACACCATCTAGCGATCCACCGACACAATGCACTGGATTAATGTTAAATAACGGAGATCATGAGTCAAATAACAAAAATATTGCAAATGAAGCAAAATCGCCAATGCAAATGGAAGTGAGTGAACCAAAGATTATAAGAAATTTCACTAAATGTCTTGAATTTGAAGAAAAACTTAAAAATAAAGAAAAAAAAATGTTAGGATTGCATGAATTACATGACACCACTGAGCCATGCTTAGATTACGAATATATAGAGGATGACTATATATCCCAAGATGAATATGAGATTTACGACGAAATAGTAGAAAATGATAATGGAAATGAGTTTCCTGCTGAAAATGGACACAACATGCCGTTAAATATTGGTGGAAACCATAAGTTTAAGACAATTATTCATAGAATTTTATTCGAAATAAGGGAGACATTTCACGTTATTTACGCTTTTTGGTATGTACTTTAAGCAAAATATTTATTATTGACTCTTAATTTATTAGTATTTAGAATATATTTATTTTATTGTATTACAAAATATTTGAATTTGTTTGTCTTGCTCTTTAAAGAAAATGTAAATTTTCCTTAAAACCCTATATAGTTTGAGTTTATATATAGTACAAATCTAAAAAAAATGCATGTTTCTGCACACTTAATATTTCTGAATTTATGAAATTACGGCTAAGAGTAAATTTAAGTTCTTCGCAATAATGCTGGAAATTTATCTTAAATATTTATATTTGAATAAAATATGTAGAATTTTTCAAGGTACTGATTTGGTTTGTCCTCGAATTTTTTTCACAGACACAAGGGGCTATATTTCTCTGTGTCAATGTATTCAAATTTCAAACTAAATAGATTATAGTTTTCAAATTGAGCTACTTATATCCTATGGAAATGGAACAAAAGGAGTGCTGTAATAGGTACTGTTGTTTCCAATAGTCACGAGCACTCTACTAACAGACTGTAGATTGTTACCTAAAAGTATGTTAAATATGACTCTTCTACTTTTGAAATGTATCATTTTAAATATATTGTGTGCATGAAATTCTTGTCATTAATTTATTCTACGGAATAGGAAATTTAATGAACTGCGAGTTAAAACTCGGTGGAATAGGCTGTTACATCACTGAAAATTTTATGTTTTGATTGTCCTCTAGTATGGTTTTAATTATTAAGGTCGGTTACACTCTTATCTTTTTTTTATGCTTGCAGTGAAGAGTCACAGAAGCGACTGAAAGCTGAACCCGAAAAGAATCACGGAGAAATACTAATAAAGGCCAAGGAAACTCATTCCCATATAAGTAAACTTTGTAATGCCTTAAATAGGTGTGTGTCATTGATTTTAAACGTCACGACTAATTTCTAGCATATTACCGCCAAAATCTAATACTACATGTAAACTTACTTGACATGCCACCTGTTTTTAGTTCAATTTTTAAATGATTGTAGGAATTTTATTAATAGTAAATATCCCAGAAGTGATAGTTCTGGGGCTAAGTGCTCGCTAAATTACACAATATGCTAACAACCCTGGTTCGATCACGACTGGCACCAATGAAATTGTTACATGCAATTTTAACTGCTGATTTACCACTTGCTGGCGGTGAAGGAAACACGTAAGGAAAAAATATTTCGAACATATGTGAAGTTCGCCAACACGCATTGGGGCAGCCCTAAAACCCTCTCAGAAATGAGGGGAGGCCTGTGCCCAGCAGTGGGACGTATATAGGCTATAACTTTTAAATATCCCAGAATGGAAATTATTGACTAAATTTTCTTTAATTTCCTCCTTATCATCGTCTTCACGGGACATGAGCCAATCTCTAGTAGTAAATTACATGACATAGGGATTAGCGATACCAGACATCTCGACTTTGATATTGCTTTCAGTCGCCGGATTGAGTATTTTACATCTAGTTTTTGCTATGCAGGGTTATTTTTCAGAGTAGCCAAATTTTAAACTTAAGTTCGAATAACAGTCCATATAACTGTGTTACTTTGTAATAACCGGCCAAATTTGCAGAGAAGGTTCAGAATAAGTAATACAGGCGAATGGTGAAGAAAACATTCTCTTAATAATGATATACTGTTATCGCAGTTTTTGAAAATACGAGTAAATAAGGCTCCTACTTTTATTTGAAATTATCCCAAATTGATTGTGATTTATGGGCAACAACGTTTTTTGCCTACCGATCTACCTTTACGAATGATTGCGTGCGCAGTAAAATCAGTTATAATAATGCATTATGACGCATTTTGAATTTAAAAGATAAAAAGGACAGAATGTAAGGGAAATTTTTTATATTATGTTTTCTTCACCATTCGCCTATATTACTTATTGTGAACCTTCTCTGCAAATTTGGCCGATTATTACAAAGTAACTCACTTATAGGGACTGTTATTTGGATGCCGTAACTAGTAAACTGGGACGTGACATGAAAACGGATTCTTATGATTAGAACTGTGGACTAATTAAAAATAGTATTCAAATTGTCATGCATCTGTCGCAACCAACTAGCTTAATTAGTCTTTTAGTTAACAGCCTAGTCTTTTTACGTTTAACTAGCGGCCTCAATTATATTCAGCCAAATCGTTTCAGCCGATGCATTTAACAGTACGTTTGCACCGAGAAATATCCAACACGTAATGTTTTGAAACAGATCGCTTAAAATAAATCACACAACATGTTTTGTTGATGGTGGCGTTCGCACTCACAAAAACTGTGTAAAATTTTCAACAGATATTCAAACTTATCTTTCAACATAACAATATTTCTACAAATTTGTTTTCAAACATTTTGTTTCTGTAGTTATAAAGATATAATATACTTAGTTAAAATATATGATGTTCAATAAACTGTCAAACATATTCCACAACAACGTGTTCTTTGACTATGCAAACGCTTTTTGATACATTGACAGTGTTTAAAACATGTTTTTTGTGAAAATCACGTCAGTGCAAACTCACGGTTATACAACATTTCATGCCTTATTATGCATGTAATGTTGTATAACCGTGAACTTATGTGCTATACTATATAAATATACGCGGCTTTAGGGCTTACTGACTGACTGAATATCATTCAGGCCGCTAATTGAACGGCGCCCTTTAGTAAAAAGGCTAGGCTGTTAACTAAAAGGCTAATTAAAGCTAGTTGGCTGCGACACATATATTGTTTTAAATATATAATAATATTTTTTATTTTTTAGTATATGCAATAGAGATGCGGATACCGCACATAATAATATAGCATCGATTTTAAAGTCAGAAGTTGAAGGTTTCGAGTTAGAAGAAAGTGATTTGCAGGAATACAGGTAGTATATTTAATAGCAATCCATTAACATTAGTTGGCAAATCTTTGACTATTTCCTTGTTTCAGGGCTCTAATGGCAAAATGTGAAAATCAAGCTAACATACTTCGTGAAACGGTTGAAACAATTATGAATCACGTAGAAAGATAAGGGAATACTTATTCTGGTTGCATTACGTGTAAATGCTATTTTAATTTTGTCTTAAATGTTAATTGTTTAATAAGAGCAAATCGAGAATAATTAATAAGAGCGAAATTTTAAATTTGGTAGTTTTATAAATTTTTACATAATATGTAATATGAACATCTCGTGACAATCACATCTTGTTATTTTTAAATATTTTTTTAAAACAATGTGGTATTCAAAAAATATTTAAAATTTTCCCACAAATCTGTTAGATATACTTGGTACAATAGTGACAGTGGCTGAGTAAAGATACAATATAGTAAAAATGGGCTTTCTCAATTTGCCATACACATGATGAATGTAACACGTGACCACTTAAGTCGTGATAACATATGAAAGGCGCCAAGATAGATTTCCTAAATATTAACAGTTTGATATTTTCAATTGTTTTCTGTTACAATTTTACAAAGCTGCTATTATATAAAAATACTGGCGATCCGCTTCAGCTTCTCAGGAGTGATTTCTGGATATCAACAACAGCGCCACCTACCGGATCCAATAGCAAACCTAAACCATTCTCGAATCAACTTAAGGCGACACCGCGAAAAAATGCACCTCCTTTCATCGAATAGTATAGGCCTATGACACCACTAACGAAAGTGGAATTTTGATATAGGTAAATTCATGTCTTTATCTTGAATTTGATTGTTCAAAAACACGATTGTATAATTTTGCCTCGATCATAATTATTTGCGAAAACACCTCTAAAAAATCACTATCGTTGAAATTACAACGAAATTACTTAATCTATATGCTTGGGAATCACTCAAATATATTCATAACATCAATATTCATAATTTACTTGCTCATTATTTTGATTACTTAAATCAAAAATTAAAAAAATATATTTTAAGATTCTGATAAGTTCTAAGCGCTTTTAATCGTCGCGTGCGCTACGCAATTTTAGACCTTATGACGGCGTTTATTCAAGTTTTTATAGAAATTATGTATTCACTCGGATCAGTACGGCAATAGCCTGCTGCCACTTTTTCGATCTCTTAATCAAACACAAAATTTCATCAGTATTGCTCCACTCGCTTAAGAGTTCAGTCACATAACACGGACAGAAGAATTATGTATATCAAGAAGACGAAAACACTTTTTTAAACTGTATAATAAAACTTTAGGTATAGTAAGTTGTTTAAGTTTTATTTGTTTTGTTTTTGTCTTTTAAAAGTTCTTAAATTATTGGTCACTTGAGTGTGCATAACAGGACTTTTTTTAATTAAAAGGCAGGGCCTAGAAACCGCCAATATGTATTTTTTTTTTCAATTTTTAGCAATTAATTAATTTAGTTCTTTTAACAAGTTTAATTAAATATAAAGTGTATTTTGTAATACGAACATTTTTATTTTAATAGATATGTTGATTTTAAAATTTTAGATGAATTATAAAAGGAATTGAAATGACAAAATAAAATTTTTAAAATAATATGATTGTATAAACATCATCTCACAGAATACCAGCGTAAAATAGTAGCTTAATGCTGCTGTGTTTCGTATGGTGAATGTAGAGAACCGGAGACCCTTTTTACTGTAAACGAGGCATTCCATCTTAGTCCTCACGGGTGACAACGCATCTGCATTTTGATTTATAATCGAGGATAGATGTAGATGTCTATGGGCCGCAGCAACCATTTATCATCAGGTGCACTGTGTGCTCGTTTGTCACCATATCCTATAAAAAAATGTGCATGCGCAATACACATTTCTCCGTTCTATCCCTCTACTCCTGTGCGCATGTGCTTGTGGAATTATTAAACCTCTCCACAACCGTCGTGATGTTTATGTATATAGGTACTTTCAAGTCTTGTTAAAACAAGTAATTTAGAACGCTAATATATAGATATCCTTTGGGCATTTTTTATACTATAACGGTAACAAACGAGCACACAGTCCACCTGATGGTAAGTGGATGCTGTGGCCCATAGACATCACATTTATCAGAATCTAAATGCATATGTGTTGTCACCCCTGAGGACTAAGATGGAATGCCTCGTTTCCAGTACAAAAGGTCTCCGGTTCTCTACACTCAACATACGAAACACAGCAGCTTTAAGCTACTACTGATGGCTGTTAGATGGTAAATAAAGCTGCCATCGTCAGCAGATTTGACAGTAAGTATACAGGCAACTGAACACAAATCTCCAAATGCATGCGACAAGACTTACGCAACTCCAATACAGCTCGTATTGAAGAAGCGATTGAGCGGAACTAGGGCTCCAGTCTTTGCCAGAGATGTCTGCCAGAAAGATCCATTTGTCAAAGCTGAAGATCAAGTGTGGCAACATCATTTCCGGGACACCTGGGGGGTCTATGGGCAGCTGTACACGTCGTTGTCGGAACCACACGCAAATGTTAGTAACGATCTAAGAGCAAGTCTTATCCGACACTATTTCGATGATATTCCCCCGGACGTCACTCTGAGCGAGATTAGAATGGCTCTCCAACACCTAAAAACGGCAAGTCCTCGGGCGATGATGGAATTACAGCGGAGCTTCTGAAAACGGGTAGAAAACAGGTACTTGAAGTCCTTCAGAAGCTCTTTAATTCCGTCCTCCGTGGTGGAACTACTCCGGAGGCATGAGGCAGAAGTGCGGTGATCTTGTTCTTCAACAAAGGCGACAACGCTCTCTTGAAAACCTACGGACCGATTTCCCTTCTAAGCCGCATCTACGTGCTGTTTTCGGGTCATCACGAATCGTCTCGCACGTAGACTCGACGACTTCCAACCTTCCAAACGAGACGGTTTCCGAAAAGGCTTCAGTACCATAGACCACCCGTCTTGTGGGTAGCCGTGGCTTAGTCACCCGTGGTGAACAAAGAGGGACCCACTTAGCTGGCCCGAGGTAGCCACTCCGAGTGGGCTTGGCCAGCCCACTTCGCATGTGTGTTGATGGGCTGCGGCGTGTCCACTCCCCTTACCGCTGCAGCCGAGGTGGAGTCGCTGAGAAAGAGCAGTGCTGGTATGGCGATATGTCACTCATCCTATCCTCCGCGACTGACCGAGCCGCACCGTGGATGCGGTAGTGGTGAGGATGCGGGGGGAGGGAGTGTCGGAATTGCTAGACGCCGTTCTCCCTACCCTCCGCAGCCGAATCGAGCTTGGCGGCGGAGCCATAGGCCAGATTCGACGCTGGGGTCGGGAAGGCTAGTGCTTCTTCTGAGTGTTCGTTTTTTCTGGCCCCATGGCCTTCGCGCATCGGACAGAGGGCGTTCGTTGCGCAGGTGAAGTTTGAGGCCACAGAGGAAGGTGCGCCATGTGGTCAGGTGCCCTTTGCCTAAAGTAGATGAAGGAGGAGTAGGCCTTTCCCGAAGGGGGGGCCACCATGAGGCGGTTGGCGCTGGTAGGGCCGCCGATGTATGAGAAAGCGTTCCTGTGGGTTTTAGTCGGTGCGAGTCCGACATAACCCGTCCTTGCCCCCGCGAGGCGGGTTTGCGTAAACATTTCCCCACGTAAAAAAAAGCTTGACCCACTAGTTGGAGTGACGACCTGGTAAGAGGATGGATGCAGGTGGCTTAAACCTTAAACCCGTGTTTTACTTCATCAATGTGTCTCGCCTGAGGAGTCCCCCTACTGGGACAAACTTTTGACGTAGATTAGCCCAAACCGCGCATTTCTCTTGTGTATGCTGTATGTTTCTCCGTCACAATAATCATTTAGGTTATTTCTCTGTTTTGTTCCTCTCAGTTGTCGAACATTTTTCACTAGTATTATTTCATATTAATATGTGTACAATGGTTTCCTTGAAAACTGAAGCAAGGGTTCAAAATAGGTATGCATTTTACGTTAAATAAATTGTAAATTTATTTCATATTTCAGATAAGTTGATTCTATATGAAAATAAACAACAGTTTCATCATAGACTCATCATACATAACTAGGATGGCAGCGCTAAAAATAAATAAAGTTTACAAAAAATATTTTAATAACTCTTATCCACTATTAATTTAAAAAGAAACATTTACATTATTAAACATATATTTGTATAAAAAAACTTAAAATGCTTATCGGGTATCATTATAAACCTTATATTAACTAATAATTAATTAATCGAATCCTTTTCCGTCCACCATCGCTTGAGCGCAGTACTTCGGGAACTGTACTACTGATAATAAGAAATCAGTTAAACCCTGCAAGAAAAAAAGACTATCCTTAATTGCACATACAAAACAAATTTTAATAAAGGAAAAAATTGATAAAGGACATTTGTCAATGTACTTAAAAATAAATGTTGGGTCAGTTTTCATTCATGCCAATTTTCACAGAATTACGCGAGAAATCCGGGTTCGATCCCGCCAGCACCAGGGAGATTGCTAATTGCAATTTAAGTGCTTACTTACTAGGTACTTGCCTGACATAAAAAATAATAACATCGTAAGGAAATCTGCATGTCTGAGAAATAAAATAATTTTAAGTAAAAGTTCTTTGGATACGCTGCTGCTATATTGTGACTGCAAAACGAATGGGTCGACTTGACCGGGGTAGCACCACGCTCTCACAGAATACCAACGTGAAACAGCAGAATAGTGCTATTTTTCGTATGGTGAATGTCCAGAACAGGAGACCCTTTTAACAGGTAACAAGGCATTCCACAATAGTCCTTAAGGATGACAGCCCATCTGATTTTTGTTTTTAATCGAGGATTGATTTAAATGTCTATGGCCTACACCATCAACTTATAATTATTTGGCCTGTGTGCACGCCTGTCATTAACTATAAAAGAGCGACTTGTGGTTTACTCGGACCTTTTTCCGGATGAATGTAAGGGTTAAATAAAAATAATAGAAATATTTATTCATCGGACAATAGTGATCCAAAATGTCAGTAGTAATTTTAGTATAATCTGTAATCCGTTTACGCAGTTTGCGCTTTATTTATAAAGGCAGGACCATAGTATTACGTAAAAGTATAGGTACGTGTTGGGGGAATTGGGTGTAAAGTAGAATAACTATTAATAAAAA